TAAAAGTAAACATTGCAGTTAATGGCTTCCTGAATCTTTCTTTTGATTGGACGAGCTTTAGTTTGATTAGATTTTTCTTTCTGTTCTGCAATGTGATTGGTTAGTGTTCTCTAAGTGGCCCCACTTACAGTAGACGCACTGTAATATTTCATATCTAAAAACGAAGGCAGGACCGAATTTTAATTGCGGTCAAGTTCGTTCCAGTAGTGAGTTTTTTATACCGGAATCCGTAAGCCCGGATCTTCATCAGTGCTAACAATATGTGAATAATAATATAAGATATTATTAGCACTGATGAAGATCCGGGCTTAGGGATCGACAGCTTTGCAGTAATAAATTTACGTGGTGTTTCCACAAACAAAACTATTATATTATACTTTCACCAAGTATTATTATCATCGTGTGAGCCATAGTTAGGGAAAGTACATTTATTACACCGAGGGAGGGGGATGAAGATGTCTTAAAAAAGCTCATATTTTTACAGGGCCCCTGTTTAGGTTATCGGTAAATTTCGATGCCCCCCCTCCAAGTTTTTAAAATTTTCAATGCCCCCCCTCTAGAATTCGGAATCGAAGGAGTACAATCCGGAATTCTCTCTTATCATAGATACAATTTGCAGTTCCTCAAGATGTCTGATATACTCAAGCATGTGCTTCTCCTCATCAAAACTAGGCCAAAAAAAATATGTGGGTTTCCGGTTTCCCAACCCTACCTAGCTTTTGGACGTCGAAATCCCGACCCTAAACTTTTTTATTGGATCATGCTTGTAAGTGTTTCCACTTGGAGGAAAAAGTTTGTGGAAAATTGAAATTTGAGGCAATATTAGGGAAATTTATCTTTGGATGTGGAAGCACTGACTAAACAAAATGGCGTCCGCTTATTCGGAAAAATAAAAAAAAGTTTAAAAAAAAAAGTTAAAACCGACCTACCCTACCTAAGTTTTTATAAGAAGAAACCGGAAACCCACATATTTTTTTTTGGCCCTACCGATCTGCTGCTTCTTTCACCTCACTAGCGCCAGATGAAATGGCACCGTCTTTAAAACATTTTAAATTGGCTCTAGGGGTGAAATTATCAACAGGTTGTTGTTGTCCATCATTCAGCGTATTCGGAGTCTTGAACACCCTCATGTAGTGGCCAGGATTTCGTGGAGCAGGGTAATGTGGTGGAACCTTACAGTATGTCGCCCCCACCCAACGTATCTCCCGGCATCTGTTGCAAATGTCTTTGCATGCCTGTGAAAAATGCATGCAAAAGTGCCAGTATGCTTCAATTTCTTTAATTTCCATCCCGTTTGTGCGAAATATCCCATAAACATAGAACATATCATTCTTGCAAATCGTATATGCTTTTTTGTTTTTGGAACTGCTACTTTTTGGCGCGTAAATTACTTCACAAACCTGGCGCCAATAAGCTATAGGTGATTTCATGTATCCATTTAGAAGAGCAGACTAAGGATATCTTAAAACTGAAATCGGTTTCGAATACAACCATCAGGGATGTAGCAAAGCATCTGACGTTTAGGGTGGGGGGGGATGTCAGAGGATTATACGTGTAATAATTATAATAAAGCTTTTTGTGATTGATTGGCACTCTTATACTAAGTTTTGGGAGAAAAGGGGGGTCTGTCTGGGGGTCCTCCCCCAGAAAATTTTTACATTTTCGAAGCTCTAGGACTGAATTTCTGGCGTTTTCTAAAGCAAATTTCGCAAACAAATTGCATGTAAATTGACTGTATTTTACAAAAATGGTTATCATTTCACAAAAATAATTACTTCATTACGCAAATTTTACCTGAAACTGATGTAAAAATTTTAACTTTAATTTGCTGGGGTCAAACCTTTGAAAAGTTTAGAGCCCCCCCTTCAGTATATCAAGAACTTTCAGAGCCCCCCTTTTAATGCCAGAAAATATTTCGGAGCCCCCCCTTAACATCTTCATCCCCCCCCCTCGGCATAATAAATGTACTAAATTCCCTTACTAGATAATATTGCTTAAGGGATAGTACTGCCTGTCTCAAGCATTAACAAGAATAATAACATAGAGAAATTTAGCAATTTACATTAAGGGTAATATACAGTAGTTTTGAAATATATGGTTCTGATTTGTTGCACGGATCTGCTATATGATCCGTGTTAAATTAGAACAATCCGTGTCAAATTAGAACAGCATATTTTAATAATGTAATATATTACATTCGTTTGATGAAAATAAATTGAATCAAAGCAAATTCCAAATTATTTCTCTTTTTGTCTGACTTGCCTTTTGATCAAAATGATCAATTAATGGTGAGTATTTTAGTTACAAATATCTGTGTAGCCTAATTGTAATCAACATCATGTATCAACAATATGTCACTCACGGCTACACATGCATATGTATTTTATTTCAGTCATTTGGTCATATTTCCAGTCAATTCTGAATGAACTCTACTCTTCATATAAAATTATTTTCGGAATAAAAGACATGTTCTTACTTGCAGTATTTACTTCAAAGAAAATCTAGTGATTTTAATACGCCTAACTTGTATTTCATGCAATATGGCGTCCGTGTTTACACTTGAATACTTCGATACAAACGGTGACAAATCTTACCATTAATCACACAGTTAACTGTGACCTCTCCAAGAATTCAGTTCCAATATGAAATTTTAACATATCTGTGTTTAATTCTTGAATCTCTACCTTTAATATTATATAATGTATGTTTTTCACGCCATAAATTCGATACAAACACGGTTCATACAAACACTCAATTCCTGGTATGGGACTTCCCCTTTCCTAGAACTAGACCTCAACAATGACGTCATACCATCACTAAAACGAAGGTATACAGCCAAAGCGTGTATCTCAATGATCTCAACAGGTGGGAAATTTGTCTGAGCATGCGCGAGCAAAATGAGCCACGCAATTACGTGGAATACACGCAACGCGTGTTTACAAAAAGGCACAATCGTGTAAATATTGCCAAATGTGTGTACAAAATAAATGACTGTTTTATGTTGAAAATGGACATGATCTAAATTAATAATACAGAATTTTTTAGTGAAGTTCTATTTCAGTACCCTGCCATTGTTTCTGGTGGGCTGTCCGTGTGCATTCGATCTGAAACAGTTGCTACTTTGCTGTCGAAATATTTCGAATGTTTACATGAAAATAGAGGCAAGTCATGCATTTTACAACCTCGTAAACTGTATCAGCCCCTATTTTTACGCTTATACCTAAAATATCAAATAAAAATACATGAAACATAGAACATTTTTAGAAAGTTTTATCGTGAGGCCACGGCCAGTTTTTAAAATATCTTTATTTCTGTTCCGGTCATCACGAAAATTACACTAAAGCCGGGCTTGAATATACAACAAATTTTGAATCTCATCAAGTACAAAAATATTTAACGTGTAACCAAAATATGCTCATGAAATCGAAATTAATAGCTAAATTTTCAAACTAGACCCTTCTCGAAGCAGTTTTCATGAAGGAAGTTCACATTTCGGCCTTTGATTCTTGGCAAAAATTTGACCACAACACGTGCGAAGCAACTGGGTCTCAAAAACTCAGCTAAAACATTGTGGGCCCCTATTTTCCTGACGATTTGTTTTATACCTACAAACGCCGAAAAGTTTTTTCTTTTCATTTAGTTAAATTTGAAATTGAGGCCACGGGCCATTTTTGAGAAAATACAGTTCAAAGTCAAGCTATTTTTACATATTTTCAAAATTTGTCAAATTTCGCGAGCTTGTATTTTGAACTTAGACAGCTGAAGTTACATTAAGAAACATAGGATGGAAAATTTGAAGCATATAAAGTTAATTTCAACTTACATTTCATTCTCATATCACGTCTTTCTTCGTTTATTACGATTTTAAACAAGCCACAGATCGACGTATACGGTATTTACTCCCATGTTCACGTCGCCATATTAACTTCTTCCAATCATTCGATTACAAAACAAATCATCCCAAAACAAAGAATTCATAGTCGACTTTCAAAAGAATAACCGTTAATTTGTAAATCGTTGAATGGAAAGGGAAAAATCGTCAGCTAAAACAGCTTCTTGCTAACTTTTTGCTTTGTTTTGAATGTGAATGCGACGAGCTTTGTTTCTGCCCGCGATTTTTTGGTCAGCGACGACAAATTTCCTACCTGTTGTGTATCTCGATAAAAACGTAGTATACGGTATTTTTTGCCGATTAATGGGTTTTTCTTCTTTTCTATTGCTGTTACGTACGGGCTTGATATCAAAGAATCTAACATTAGTCTTCAGAAAATTTGAAGCTGCTGAACCTAAAGGATCCTAAAGATGTGGACACACAGTCTGCCCCAGGCCCAGTGTTCCAGAAGATTTTGAGTGCCGTCTAGACTTGTAAACTTTCAAGACCTCGAAAATACGATTTCCTGTATTCTTTAATTCAAACTTCTACATGCAAATAAATCTGCCAAAATTTCATAAAAAATAGATTTAATTTCAAAGACTTAGTTATTTCAATTTATATACACCCCCGCATAAGACAAAATAATTTTTGCGTCCTCCTGATTTTTAACACACGGTCCTTTCGCATGCATGCTAAAAATGAACGGTCACCTAGAGGTACGTAAGTGTGAAAGAGGTTTAAGCCGCTTTATCCACTAAAGACTGATGATTTTTTAAACCAGGCTTATCTTTTCATTTTGCACTGACAAAAATCAACAAAAACCGAAGTTTCTCACTTCATGCGAGGTCTGACTGTCTGTGTCTTTGTCTGTTGAGATTTAAAGCCTAATAGCCCAAAAAGTAGCGGTAATAAATTTCTGTTGAATATAGAGCCAGAGAAATAGTGCAAAACCTTTAAAAATACCCAATAAAACTCAAAATAAACAACATGAAAGTAACCGTAGAATCGTAAATACTTTTTTCTAAATTAAACTGCTAGTCAATTTTTTCCCGAAAACATCACCGAAAATAACGAAAAATAACTTGTGGGTGAAAAGTTCGATCACCAATTTATTCGGAGTCTTATTTTGATGTTGCTAACCTCAGAGAAAAAGGATGATCTCCTTAGTGGAACTATACATTCAATCCATGTTGAAGTACAGGTCTGACTAAAGGCTGAAATGAAATGCTGTATAATACACATAGTATAAAGGCTCGTTTACATTTGCAATTTTTCTTCCGATTTTAGGTGCGATTTTCTTCTTCCGATGTATGTGAACGAGTGGATAAGTTATGAATGTTCAGATGAGGTTACATACAGCTATTTCAATTAAGGTTGTCCCCGAAGCAAAGCGGAAAAGTCGAATACGAGCGCGAAAGGCTTGCTGGGAATCGCTAAAAAATTAATGAAATTTAAAAAAAAATTAAAATTATTCTCTGAACCCAAGAAAACAGTAGTTAACTTACCAAAGTATGTAAATTTATTTCTATATTTTACCAGTGTTAAGTCACTTAATTGTGACGACATAAATGAGCATGAAATGCAAATAGAGCTAACAGTTATATATGAATTAGTGAAGAGCACATTTGTTGGATATGAAGCTGGTGCAGTACTTCATTTATAGCACAATATTCTGACATGCAAATTTGGTAGGCCTTCAAGCGTCACCTAGTTCAGGATTTCCGATCGGATAATAACACGTGAAAGCTATGAGATTCGACCTGCTGATATTTTGAAAAATGCAGGAATTTCTAACTTACAAGCCAGACGACAACACCAATTAGCGCTCCTTATGTTTAAAGTCAAAAACAAAATGTTACCAAATCATTTAACTGAAATTTTCACCAACACGAATACAATCATACTCATAATACGAGAAATATATAGCGATTTTAATTTCGCATTACCTAAGCCAAAAACAAACAGTATGAAAAAGGCTTTTGTCTACAAGGGGGCTGAGGCTTGGAATAACTTTACCACTGCAATGAAATCATCGAAAAGTATCTCTAGCTTTAAAACCAAAATGAAGCGAATATACTAATACTGGAAATTTATTTCCAGCCATTGAATTAAAACTATTGTTAATTTATATAATATATTTACATTGTGCATGCACACGGCCTATTGGAAGATCACCTTTTTATTTTTCATTCTTCTTTATTTCTAAAGAAAGTGA